GATCCACCTGCCTCTGCCTCCCAAGTGCTGGGATTAAAGGCATGCGCCACCATGCCCAGCTCTGTTTGTTCTTTTTAAAAATTATATTACTGTGAGATTAAACTTTTAACAATATTAGTTAAAATTGTGTGTGTGTGTGTATGTGTGCACAAGTTCACATGTGTGTGAGGGCCGGGGTTGACATTGGGTGCCTGCCTCATTCACTCCTCACCTTATGTTTTGAAACAGAATCTGTTACTGAACCTGGTACTTTCCAGTTCAACTAGCCTGGCTGGACAGTGAGCTCCAGGGGTCCTCCTGTCTCTGCCTCCTCAGCACTGGGATTACACCCAGGCCGTGGACAGAAAAAGATGGGGCTTACTGGCATCCAGCCTAGCTGAGAAAACGTGAGTCCCAGGTTCAGGAAGAGACCCTGCCTTAAGAGAACAGACTGAGAGTGAGAAAGGACACCCAACACCCTCGTCTGGCCTCCATGTGCGTATAGAGAAATGCACAAATGCTTGCACACACATGCACATCCACTCACAGAGACACACAGACGTAAAAAAAATCTTTAAAAATCATTATGCCTTAGTTCACTCTTCCCCAACCAGTGTCCAGTAGGAGGCACATTAGTTGAATTCTCCACTATGACTGTCTGTGTCTCATTTGTACTTAACCAATCCAACACTCCCACCCCCATTCAACCTTGGGCCTGTTTAGAGCCAATTTCAATCAGGTAGAAAGATGCTGAATACAATGTGGCTGTGAGAGCCAGGCAGGTTATGTGATCCCGGCTGCCTTTCCAGACACACCTGGGTCTTTTTCTACCTTTCTCTTGGTTTCTCATGTTCAAACTTTTAGGTCAACTGAATCCTAGTTCCTGGGTCCTGTTCCTCAGTGGGCAGGTAGATGCACTTTAAATAATCAATTTAGGGATTAAATATTTGCTTTTATTGTTTGTGGAATGAGCACTGGGTAAGCAGGGGAAAGGACTTGTCTCACTTTAGCGACAATCTAATTTTCTCATCTATAATAGGACAGGTCCCACATGGGAGTTACTAAACACTGTCTGAGTTAGTCATTAATCAATATGATTGACTAGTAAAGTTCTGCCATTTCAGCTCATTAAACAGCAATCTGATGGCATTTAAGAGACCAGGGATGGATGCTCTGAAGGTCACTGGTGGTCTCCACCATATCCTTGAACCACTCTCTAGCAGGGTGTTGAGGTCAGAGGTCATGAGTCAGGAGAAGAGAGTTGATTCCTTCTTCATCCATCCTGAGCTCATCAAGCAGACACAGACTTCCCGCCCCCTCTTTGTAGGGGTATCCAGAGGATTAATGGTGATGCCCATCACTTGCGGACTGAAGTGATACATAGACCCCAGTGCCATTCAAAAGGCTTAAGAGACATATACCGGGGCTGAGGAGATAGTTCTGTAGATAAAGTGTTTGCTGCTTAAGCATGAGGATCTGAATTTGGATCCCCAGCACCTTTATAAAAGCCAGCCCCAAGGGTAGATGTCTTACCTCAGTAGTGGGGAGGGGAATCAGAAACAGGCAGATCCTTGGGGCTCTCTGGCCAGACACAACAGTAAGCTACAGTTTCAGTGAGAGATCCTGGCTCAAAAGGTAAGATGGCGAGCATTGAGGAAGACACCTGACATTGACCTCTGGCCTCCACATGCACCCAAAACAAACAACAAAAAGAAACACACATCTGTTAGGATGAAGGTAAAGAGGTGGGGAAGTTAAGAGGTGGACAGACATCCACATACCCAGAAAGTGGAGGAGCCCAGATTTGAACTCAGATTGTCTAGGTCCATCTGCCAAACCTGCCAACTTTATGCCATGTGTCAGCAGCCAATAATGGATGTTGGCTGAGGAGGTGGTTCAGCTGATAAAGTGCTTGTCTTGAAAGTATGAGGACCTGAGTGTGAGCCCTAGAAGCAACACAAAAGTCTGGGCAAGGTGGCACCTGCTTGTATTCGCAGTGATGGCACGATGGGAAGCAGAGGCAGGCAGATCAATGGAGATCACAGGACAGCTTATTTGGCGTACTTAGTGAAGTTCTGGGCCAATAAGAGACCTCATTTCAAACAAAAGGCATAAGGTATCTGAGGAGAAACACTCAAGGCTATCCTTTGACCTCTCTATACACGCACACATACACATCTGCACCTCCTTTGAACACACACAGACACAGACACAGACAGACATGCACACGTACACACACACACACACACACACACTGCACACATACACATCTGCACCTCCTTTGAACACACACAGACACAGACAGACATGCACACGTACACACACACACACACACACACACACACACACACTTTGAGACAGGACCTTCTTAAGTTGTTCAGGTTGGCTCTGAACTTTTTCTTTCCTTTGGTCTTCTTAACACAGGCTCTCCTTGTAGCCCTAGCTGGCCTGGAACTCCCAAATAGGCCAGCCTGGCTTAGATATACCTGCCTCTGCCTCCTGCATGCTGTGATTAAATGCATGTACCACCGCCATGCCCGGGTGGCTCTGAACTTTCGATCCTCTTGCCTCAGCCTCCTGAGTAGCTGGGATGACAGGCCCATGTCAGCAAGTTCATTGAGGATTCACTCATCTTCCCTGTGTGCCTAGTCTCTGGATTGATATCTCACTTATCCTTGCAATAGATGCACAGAGAGGAAACAGAAACCTGGAGCTAGAGAAAATGGGCTGCTGAAGGAGACTTTGTTATAGACAATTTATATGCCAACAAACCCTTCCATTCTTGACTGGACCCTAGTCCTGGGCTTTCTCTTCATTCGGGCCTCAACACTAGCCTTCAGACACTGGAACATTCCATGAACACAGTTTCCATCTGCTCAGTGCTCCCTATCTAAGATAGTCTCAGTCCCCTTCAAGTACCAGTCTGAGCAAACCCAAGGCTAGCTGAACCCGCTGGCACAGGCCTGATCCCAGCTACTTGGGAAGCTGACACAGGAAGAGTGCAGGTTTAAGGTTTGCCTGGGATACACAGTGAGTTCAAAACCAACCTGTACAATTTACTGAGGTCCTGCTTCAAAATTTCTTTAAATGCAGAAAGGACTGGGGCTGGGGACATATCTTAACACAGGAGAGACTCTGAGCGTGTAGAAACCACGGGTCCATCCTGGGCACCATAAATAAGAAAACTCAAGGCTGCTTCACTGTAGTGATTGGAATGAGCAATGACCTCCATAAGCTCATGCATTTGGACACTTGGTTCCCAGTTGGTGTTTGGGAGGTCTTGGAATCTTTAGAAGGTGTAGTCATCCTGGAGGAAGTGTGTCCCTGGGGGCGGGCTTTAGGAGACCGTAGCCTGGCTCCACTTCCAGTTCCCTCTCTCAGCTTCCTGTTTGTGGCCGAAGATGTGAGCCCTCAGCTTTCTGGCCCTGCCATGGTGCCTGCCACTT